CCTTTACTCCTTGTAGCCTTATGGTTAACTATTAGATGGCTGAGTATGATTTTCAGGTGTTAATACTGACAACTGTTTGTCAATGTGATATGTGGTAATCACTGTTTTTCTGGTCAGTTCTGTCATAAGGGGAACGGTGGTCCTATGGGAAAAATTTATACTAACAATAATTCCAAGTTAGTTTTTATCAAGTCAGTATTCATTGATCTAATGAGTGACCATGTTAAATTTCCAAGCGTGGAGTATTCCATATGAAAGTATGCACCATAACTATCTAAAAAAAAGACAAGAAGATTTTCAATTCACTTTGAAATGTTACAGCTAACCTCTTTTTTTCTTCTCAAAGACTCAATATTCACTGGGTATTTCAAAGAGGAAAAACCTACTGTTACACATAGGTAATGCCAAAGGTGTGTACAAGAATAAGTTAGCCTATCGAACAGATGTTGCCAAAAAGACAGTTGTTGAAAAGCATATATAAGACCTTCATGCTATTGCCTGACTGCGTTCCTCTTTCCAGAAGTACCTACATTAAATACAGATGAAATGTAAGAAAACCACATTCTAAGGAAACATTTCCCAGTATTCTGTCTCCTCTCCATCTCCTGCCCAGATATAAAATGCCACCACCAAATAAATAAATGGGCAAACAGATAAATAATTTCTAAATTTTATTTCTAAATGCCCCAAATTAAACAGAACTATAGGTGCAGGTAAATATATGAGCAGTCCTCTTACTGAAACACCACCTACAGCACACCCAAAGGGATGGCATGGATTCTGACTGGTAGATTAGGCAGGCATATATGGTATTAGGAAAACTGACCACAGAAAAGTCAAAGGCTACTGTGTCTGAAGGGAACTGGTACAGAACTTGCCTGGATACAGTTAACATATTAAACCAAAATTGTTATAGAAAACTGAAAACTCTGAAATAGTGTATATTCTTTGACTTCATAAGGCAAAGCCAAGCGCATCAACTTAAAGGCAGGTCCTGAGATGTCAACTGTGTTTAGTAGGTCTAGTCTCAAAGTCTGGAACTTCCTTTCTTGTCATGTATCCTGTGGTTTTTGATTTTATATCTGCAGTAGTAACTTAACTTGCATTTGTTTCAAAATGAATTTCATGCTTAACTTGTTTTTCTTAATTAAACTTTCTTTAGCAGTCCCTAATATGTGTATTATTAAAACTCGTTAGTCCTATTCACGCTTGCCTGTCAGTTTTTGGCTACACATTCATATATTGAAGTGCTCGGCTGCTATATGTAGGAAGAAAATTAAATAATAAATATGGGGATTGAACGTTTTATGAGTGTCAAGATGAAAGAGTGCCTGCAAGGCCCATAAGGTTTCACACAAAAGAGGCATTACTGCTAAAGCTAACATGCTGACACATCTCTCATCTATAAAGTCTGCAGTGATGGCAGCAATAAAGCGTTTTGCCATTGACTAGAATTTCTCTTACATGCAACGGAAACAGGCACAGAAGAGATTATATTGACTGTTATAAAAAGAATTCATATAAAATCCTCCAAAAGTTTAATGTCTGAAAATTTCAAATGTCTGGAGTGATTTATTAGTTTTCCTTAACTTCAGTTAAACTTAGAGTTGGCAGTCTCTCTCTTTCACATGTTTGCTACCATATAGGTGTTTTTTGTGGGGGTGGGGGACAGAAATAATTCATATCCTTCTATAGTAAGCGAGTGATGGTTGACATTGTCAATGTGATGTCATTAATAACAAAGGAAAGGTAATCAAACCTGTTAGTATTAAGAAATTATTCTTAGGAACAGTTGAGAATGTTGCTATCCCACAAGATTAAGAGGTTAGCTACTTCAAACTGTTTTAAATTATCTTTCAAAAGGCATTTAAAAGGAAACCCTAGATTTATCATGAGTCTTATAGATGTTAATTTTTCAAAGATTTTCTGGGCTTTGCAAATATGAAATATTAAAAACTGAAGTTTTAAACTAACTATAAGTTTTAAGTTTTGTTTTTAGCATTTCTTGACAAAGCAAAAGAAACAGAAGACTTGCATTTTGAGATGCCATGTGTTAAATTTCAACAAATCATTAAAAAAGGATTGCCCTTTTCATTTTGCTTTCAATTAAGAGTGTGGAGCAATTTCCTTTAGAAAAAAAATCGATTGATGTGGAATAACATTTAACTGTATTTAAATAGCTCAAAATCGTGAAACAAATCTGCAGCAAATGTATTACCACCCCCTGAATGTTAGGCCCGCTAGAACACATGGAAGGGTTCTAGGGACAGGTGTAGCAAAGCTCCAGTGAAGCAACATGAGTTATTCCATGGTGATAAGCTTTGGGGAATCCAAAGCTATTTCTCATCACACACATTAGAAAACATGCTTGCCACTTTAGGGGCTAATTGAGAGTTTCTATTTCTTTACCCCAAACTACCACATTTCATGTACTCTGTAGCAAAACTGGGACACATGTTCAAGGCCACCATGTTCTTTTTAATAGTCATAACCAAAAAAAAAAAAAAAAAAAAAAATATTATTTGAATAAAGTAGAGCAAATGTAACCAAGTGAACTCTTCAGGTTTTCTAATAGTTCTCAGAATAATTCACTCTATTAATAGAGAACATTTATGTAACTGGGTAAATTGCTCTTCATTGACTGGTTACAGCTTTTAAATTATTTTCGGGGTGTGTAGTTTTATTTATTTTTATTCCTATTATTATTAACTTTCCAAAGTGGATCTACCACCTACAAAGTTTACCTAAGTTTTATGTAGGAACTGCTTGTAGAAACCACAGAGTGGGTCAAAGTTTTCACCTTTTCATTTTCACTGCCAAAAGAAAATGGAACAAGGGGCCACAAAGTATTGATTATTCTTGCCAGAGGAAAATATTGTTCGGTCATGACAAAGGCACTTTAAGCTAACTCTTCTGGTTTTTGCACCATTGTGCATGCCATGACCACTGGGTCAGTTGTTATGAAAGATGTAAATTAACTTTTACAAGGATTTCCTTTTTCCTTTTTCATATATCATATTCTCCATCTACTTTTATAGTATCAACATTATATTCTCTACTAGCCTATTCTAATTCTACTAGGAATTCTAATCCATCTCCCATTTGCCTTCATGATTTATTTACTATTATATTTTGCTATTTGCTAGCTGTCTGTTTTAACTTAGATTTTTTAAAAGATGTTAATATTAGTGGACAATGTAGCTATGATCAGTGGCTAGAATGTACCAAAACACAGAATATCCATTCTTCTAGCTCATGGTGCACAAAAACCATGACTTAGAGCTGTGTTTAAAAAAAAAAAAAAGGCAAACCCAGCCTCTGAGTTATCTTCTTAAAACTAACACGCTTGCAGGAACTATTTCTTGCTATTTTTATAATCTCTAGAAAAACTTAAAGTCTGCAGAAATAAGTAGTAACTTTTCCACTGTAGAATCCTTGGATACAAGAGTTTCATTTTTTGCCATTTAATCTTAAAAAGGAAAAAGGAATGGCACTGATCTTGTTTCAGAATTTAGACTTAAGAAACACATATATACATACAAATCCAAGAAGAAAGTTTGGTGAGGCTCTTCTTTTAATACCAGAATGTCTGATGTATCTGGAATTCTTGAAGTACTAGGATGATGAGTGCTTTAGATGACATTGAAGAGTTGCCTTTCAGTGAGTTCACCATGAAGAGGTTTTAATGCTAAAACCATAAAGGTATATGGTAGCTACATATATTTCATAGCCTATAAACAGAGACCCCTGAAAAAATATCTTCTTTAAAATAATAACAAGTTAAAATATATTATTTTATGTTTTAACAATTCTCTATCTCCATTTTAGTCTAATGCAGCTGAATGACAGGTTTAAAATTTAACGAAATGGCCTTAAATAGGAAAAGCCAACTAAAATTCTGAAGGTGTAAGGAGCCTATGAAGGCAAGCGAGTGCCTTAACTTATTTAACATATCTACATACGTATTTAAATCCGTTCTCTCTACGTAATTGTTCTGAACCTATGCGGACTCCAAAATTGTTTCAAAATAATATGCTTTTCTGGATTTCAAAGCAACTTTTAGTTTCCTTAGTCAATTAATATTCACTCATTGGAGTGATTATTTTTAATTATATCTGCTGAAATTGATTTCCCTTCTGTAAATAAAGATGAGCTTTTGTTGAGAGCAATGAAATAATATTTAAAAAGAAAAAAAAAAAGCTCTGAATTCAGCAGCAAGAAAACGTCTGGAAACGCGCGCGCACCGCTCAATTGGAAAGAAAAGCCAGTAAGTGGCGAGGCAGCCAGGGCAGGCATGCACTGGAAATGCAGCCGGCTGCCTGGCGCACTTGCCAGCCTGGGCCCTCGGCAGAAAGGCTGCAACGCCTTCCTGGACTGGTCCAACTAGAAGAAAAGTTACCTCGGACTGTATTATGCAAAGTCGTACAAGTGAATTACAAGACCTGTGTGGCCGGTCACCCACTCATACAGTCTCCATCCGATGCAGTGACCCTGTAACCCTTTAGTGTTCGGCGGGGAGGAGGGAGAGGCGGGAAGGGGAAGGACGGAAGGGGAAGGGAGAAGAGACACTACGAAAACGGCCAATCGCCCCTGCAAAATTTCCCCAGAAGCCAAGACATTTGCCAAAACCACGGCAGAGACAGCAGCGGTTTCTACTTGGGCTTTCCCCCTCCACATGCAGGTTTTCCAAGGCATCGCTGCCTCCTCTCTTTAAAGTACCAGTAGGAGAAAGCACTAGATCCAAGAGGGATCTCTCGACTGAGAGATTTTCCAGGCAAAGTTCAGAGCTTGGAGGGTTGCTCGGCTTTCCCACCGACGCCACAAAACACGGTTTTTAAGCTCGATCTAGGTAGCTCCCTAGCGATCTACCGGAGATGTGCGAGGTGGTTCACATCCCCCCACTTCACTCCCCATTTCACAGGCACCGCGTCCGCAGCACCTTCCGCGCAGCGGCACACAGACCCAGACAGCCCCCTCCCAATAAAAGACCCCAAACTTACCCTCAGTAAGACAAATCCACAGAGGGAGCCCCCTCATCTTTCCCAAGTCCCCTTCCAATAATTCAAGGAGACAGTTTCTACAACACTTCGCCGTCAAATTCAAGCTAAATTGCTCAAAGTATTTACCAGTTCCTAGACGCTTATTTTGGAATCTTGAGCACCCGGTAATTCTTGTTTGACAATTCAAGATGCTTCCTTTATTTGCTTTTTTTTTTCTTCTCTAAGCAGTCGCAACCCCAGTTTTGCGCCCCCCCCCCCTTTTTTATTCACCCACGGACACTTCCAAAACGTGTCGATTGATCCTTTTTTCTCTCCAGCTGCAAGCACGATCCAGAATCCTTGGGACCCAAAGCCACCTCCATGTAAATCCGAGCATCAGGCAAGAAATACAAATGATCAAACAACGTTACTTCTTTCAGCTGCAATCAGATAATCCTACTAATCCAATAGATTTATCTCGATTGGAAATTGACCTCAAAAATGAATCCCTGGTGCTGATGTCCAGTAGAGCGATTTCGTAGCCTTGTTCGGATGACCAAACGAACTGTGGATTCGTTCTTTCTAAAATGTTTTTGGATTCTGGGTGCACAGCTAGCAAAAAAATGCCGAGGACCCTGGTTTTCCCCTAATATAGGTTTCCACTCCAAATCAGTGCAGGATGAAAAATGGTACAAAGATACCCCTAGTGGCTTGAGGTGATATTGCAGGGATCTAATTTTCTTTTTTCTTTTTTTTGAAATCCCTTCTCACCTTTTTTTCCTCCTCCCCTCTCCCCCATGTAGATAACTGGCTGCTATAGTGGTGAAACAAGAAGGCTGACCGTAGATTAACATGAATAGTATGTGACTACTTGAAAAAATCGTCTGATCTTTCTTCTTTGTTTTACTTTAAAGACTGAATCTGTGCTTCTGTCTCCTCAGTATTCCATCTTTTTCCTACAGAATTTTTCCCAGTGGCATAGAGTAGCTAAAAGGCCAATTTGGGGCAGCCAGTGATTTCAAAGCAAATGTATTTGCTTCCTGAATAACTACAGGTATCAAAAGAAGCCTCAGTGTGCCTGAGATATGCCGGGTTTTTTGGGGGGAACCTAACATTTTTTTTCCTTTAAAGGAGCATATACATATATATGTATATACATACATATATTTGTATATACATGCATTTATGGCAGGTTTTAGAGGGAAAAAAAAACAATGCAATGAATTTCAGGGTTCCATTTGGTAAGCAATCTCTCTTAAACTTTACTGTGTCTACCAATAACCTAGCGATCTTTTAAAAATGAGGATTCTGATCTAATAGGAACAGGCAATGGATGAAATTTGCCTTCACAGCAAGTCTTCTGACCACACTCTGATTTATCAAGGGCCCAGTAAACTCAGGAGGCTTAATTCACCTTCCCGCTGGTGGGTGTAGTAGCTGCAAGGACTCCAAGATTTTCTTTCCTAATTGACTAAATAATTAAACCTTTTTAAGTGTAAGAGCTAGTAAGGAGTCAAGAGATCTTACTTCTACCACTGGTTTTGTTATTAATTGGCTATGTGACTTTGAGCAGTCACTTTTGACCCAGGGTTAATTTATCTATTAAAAATTAAAGAGTAAATTCAAATAAATTAACAGGTATACTTGTTCCTGGATGGAAGACTTGACTGTAATTTAATCTATAAAATTAAAGTAATTATTATTGAAAGCCCATGTAGTTTTTCAAAGAACTTGAAAAGTTAATTCTACAGTGTGTTTGCAAGAGGAAAGGGTCAAAACTTGTCAATACAATTTTGAAGAACAAGGTATGGGGAATTTCTGCATTGACTATTAACGTTTAATATACAATGACAATAACTGAAGCAATGTAACTTTGGTTCAGAGATAGAAGTTAGTCCAGGAAAATAGAATACAGGACTTAGTAATATATCCCCACATTTATGGAAACTTGATAAATACCAGGTGGCATTAGAGGGCAATATGGAAAGATGAATTATTCAGACAGTAAATTAGGCATATGAAAAAAATGTATGTACATCACAAAAGTCAAAGCATAGACTGAGAGGATATATTTGCTATGCAATGTTTGGGTACATAATCAAAGAAGGATTAATATCCAAGTACATAAAGAATTCTCATAAATCTATAAAGATAAAAATATTATTTCAAAAATGAGCCAATAAATGAATAATTGACAGAAGAGGATTCTCAATGTTCAATAAACATCTGAAAAAAGTATTGCATTTCCCTAGTTACTACAGAAATACAAGTTAAAATGATGAAGTATCATTTCACAACTAGGAAATTGGCAAAATTTTGTAAGTCCAGCAATAAGAAAAATTTATGAGGATGTGGAGATACCATGAAGAACAGGCAATAGTACAACTTCAGATAGAAGTTTAGCAATAAAAATTCTTCCATCCCCAATTCCAATCTCTCCACTCCTGCATTTTTTTTTCTGCGTCTCTATGCATGTACAGAAAATAGCCACTACAGAATTACTTGAAAGAGAAAAAAAGAAAAGAAACTTTGGATATACAAGTGAACAAGGAATTTATAGAATATTCACATATTGTAATATCACATGCAGTAAAAATGAAAAATGAATGCACTGTAGCTACTTGAGTTAGCATGACTGCATTCAGAAATGCAATGGAGCAGCAACAAGAAAAGCAAGGTGCAGAAAGAAAACTGTGGGTTGACACATTTATATATCAAGTTTGAAAACATTATTATGTCTGTGATTATAATTATATTTATTTTTGAGCATATGCATATGTAGCAAAAGTATATAAACATGCATGACAATGATAAGCTTGAAATTCATGGTATACTTTATCTTTGGAAAGAACCAAAGTTAATGAAATTGGAAAGACATCATGGGGAGCTTCAACCCAGTGTTTAGTGCTTTCTTTCTCAAACTGAATCTGAAGTACACAATGTTTATAGAATTACATTATAAATTGATTGTATGTCTGAACCATTTCCCTAAAATGAAATATTTCAATTAGATGACTTCTATGAACCCTTGTAGTTTTGGAAAAATTACTATTTAGAAAAGTATAAGTAGAAGTGAAAAAAATAGTATGGGAGTTCAGAATTTCAGAATCTACTGTCTGCACATAAGTCTATAGAGACTTTTTAAATATATGTAGCATTTTTTAAAAACTCTATAGCACTTCATATTTCTAAGAACTGGAAATGTATAGATCCTATTTCTTTCTAGAAGGGATACACAAATTTTCAGCAAGCAAGCAAGAATCATCACCTAAATAAGAAAAAATGTGGTTGAAATAGGGAGAAAAAGTAATGTTCCCCTTTTTTGTGGGGAGTGGTATTTTCCTTTGATCTTACATATAGCAATAACACCTCTGAAATTGTGAAACAGGCAATCAATCGATCATGTTCAGTTCTGACAGTTAACTGGAAACCACCAAATATAGAGTAGCCCTAAGTCAAAAAGCAACACTGAAGAAAATCCTTCCAGAACTTAAAAAACCCACCTGTGAATTCAAATAAGGAGGCTTTGTTGATGCGAAATATGAGAAATGGAAATCTCATTTCCAAGGCATTATTTTTCGTAATTTATGGAAAATAGGAGAGGATACCAAGGGGAGTCCAATCTTAGAAGTAAAATAAGCTACATCCGTAGTTAATATTCTCAACTCATACTGAACTCATAAAAAAAAGTCTGGAAAAATCAACAACAGACCGTCAACCATTCAGAACAGTGTTCCTGAGCAATAAACAAAGCAGCTTTGTTATAAAGAAAGAGTGAAAGGACAATTTAATTTCCTTTGAGAATGGAATATACAGGACAGAAGAAGAAGATATATTTCTGAAATTTGGAGAGGTTGACATATTCTTTCAGTAACCACTTATTGAATACCTCTTGCATGCTGGGCACAGTACAATGCATATCACACAAGAGTTGACTTCAATACAAACAACTACCACAGTCCCTGAATTTGCTCCTGATGATTGATGTGTTGACTGTAAATGGTTAACAGTTATTCTGAATTGATAATTAACCATGCATACTGAAGAGATACAGATATTAATATAAAACTGAAGTTTCATTTTCAGTGTGTTTAAGTGCACACTTTTTGATGGGTTGAAAGCCATGCAGGTAACAAAGTAAAAGAAGGAGAAGTAGGAGGATGAGAATAAAACATGAATAAAACTCACTTCTTTCCCTGATGATTTCCTTTACACAGATGATAGAAAATTACTTACTCTTTATATTCTTCACAGTACAAATGGTCAGTGAATGAATGACTTAATAGACTAAAGAGTGAAACTAGTTGACTAATACATGAAGAAAACAAATTTATTCTCTACCTTGGATGGGCTCTCTTCAGAGAATGAAATAGAAAAGTAAAAAATTACTATGACAAACAATAATGGGAAATGAAGGGCCAAGCATGGCAAGCGAGTGCCAACTGGAATATGGGATTCCAATTTGATTATGTCACTAAAATTTCAGCTGTGCTAAAACCAAGGGTAGATATGATTATACATCCTATTTCAATTTCTGCAATATAAACAAAAAAAATGATTAATACAAAATGGCTCATGTAAAGAAATGACACAGTTCTACTAAATAATAGATGAGAAAGTATTGTTGCTTTTAATACAAGAGTCATTACGAAAACAGAATTGTGATTTTTTTCAATAATTGATATAGGAGAACACTTTTATGATGAGGTCAAATCCATCAAGTTCTGTCTGATAGTAAACATTTTAGGATATCATGAAAGATTGGTCTATGTTTGAAAAAAAATCCTATAACATATTGTAAAATAGATTTCAAATGCAAGTCTTGGGGAAAAAATACTCCTCCACCATCTTTAGAAGTCCCCTGATGTAACTTCACTTTAAGTGCTCAAGTCTTGAATCTAAATGAATGGCAATTGGGAATTATAGAAGGCATAAAGATAAAAAGTGTTGCAATATTTCAAGTCCTAACTACTGCAAAGGTGGCTGTTTATGAAGAGGTTCTTTCTACTGGGAATAGTCTGTTCACAAATCCTGCTTAATTAGAAAAGACTACTTAAAACACTTGACTGATACTGAATATTTCAGGTATGTATTGGGAGAACACATCTGCTCCAATGCTAAATTTACCAGATGCATCTTTTATATTTCTTGGTTGGAAGACCTGTAATGGAAACCAAGGAAGGAATGATCAAGACTAGATATTTTAGGATGAGACTGTTACATAGACAAACAGGGCTTCTTCATCAAAGCTGGTTTGAGATAATGAAACACATCTTCAAAGCTCAGGGGATTAAGTCAGAAATGCATCCAAAATTTCAAAACAAACATATCATTTTGAATTACTAAAAAGTTCCAAATATTTGTGTTATTATGCTAATAATTAAGAATTTGTTTCTTTTTGAAGGAGTTCTTTTAAAAAAAAAAAAACCTATAATTGATATTTAGGCTTCCCTGGTGGCTCAGTAGTAAAGGATCCGCCAGGAATGCAGGAGACATGGGTTCAATCCCTGGGTCAGGAAGATTCCCCTGGAAAAGGAAATGGCAACTCACTCCAGCATTCTTGCCTGGGAAATCCCATAGAGAGAGAAGCCTGGCAGGCTACAGATCACCAGGCAGCAAAGGAGTTCAATACAACTGAGTGATCAAACAGCAACAAACAATT